TTCTCATTACCTCCCCAATGTTTTGTATGCCTGTCCATTTTTTAATATTGTCCATCCATGATAAATGTCTTCGGCCTCGTTTACGCTTTCCCTCAATCTTTCCATTGAGGATTAGTTGTGGGATTTTGTATTTTTCTCCTCTAGTGATATGTCCCAAGTATGCAATCTTTCTGCATTTGATTGTTGACAGCAATTTTCTGTTTGTTCTTGCTCTGCTTAGAATTTCGTTGTTGGTCACTCGATCCGTCCATGGGACTCTCAGCATCCTTCTGTGAATCCACATCTCAAATGCCTCCAGTCTTCTTTCTGTATTCCTTTTTAATGTCCAGCTTTCCACACCATAGAGGAGAACTGACCAAATATAACATTCGGCCATGCGTTGCCGCAATTTCAAATTTAAATTGTCGTTGCAGAGCAGGGTTTTCATTTTTTGGAAGGATGTTCTAGCTGCTACTATCCTGCATTTAATTTCTTTCCCTGAATCTATATTTTCTGTAATTATGCTTCCCAAGTATTTAAACTGTTTGACCCGTTCAATTTTTTTTGGTCAAGAACAAGTTGTGCCTCTCTGTGTGGGATCTGACTAAAAATCATAAATTTAGTTTTGTTTCCATTTATTTTGAGACCGGTATCAATTCCTGCTGAGTTAATTTTGTTTAGTAGTACCTGTAAACCTTCTAGGCTGTCGCATATGATTAGTGTATCATCAGCATATCTAATGACGTTAAGAATTACACCGTTGATTTTAATCCCATAATTTGAGTTTTCTAAGGCATTTTTGAAGATTTTGTCTGAGTACAGATTAAACAATAAGGGCGAAAGAATGCAGCCCTGCCGGACTCCTCTCTGTATTTCAATTTCTGCTGTTTTCATTGTTCCTAACTTGACTTCTGCTGTTTGACCCCAGTATAAATTTTGAATTATTCTGATGTCCTTGCCATCTAATTGAACTTGGTGTAAGATCTCTATTAATTTGGAGTGTTTCACACTATCGAAAGCCTTTTCATAGTCGATGAAACAAGCAAATATGTCTTTTTGTTGTTCACGACATCTCTGGAGAAGGACGTTGATACTAAACAACGCTTCTCTTGTTCCAAAAGCATTTCTGAATCCAAATTGAGTTTCCTCGAGATCAATTTCACATTTTTTATATATCCTGGCGTGTATAATATGTAGAAATATCTTCAGAACATGGCACATGAGACTAATGAGTCTGTAGTCGCTACAACTTTTAGGATGACTTGTTTTAGGGATTGTTACAAAGGTTGATTTTAACCAGTCTTTTGGTATTGTGCCAGTATTGTAGATCCGATTGAATAATCTAGTAATTAGTTTAATATTATCATCTTCGATCAATTTCACAATTTCAGT